CCAGCCGACAGGGATCACAAAGTACCAGCTGACAGGGATTACAAAGTGATATAAAAATGTTTTATAAGGTGTTAAGTCGCCTTTATGCCTATTCAAACATATACTTTGTGTGTGTGTTACTTATAATATTTAGACACTCTTTGATGGTTAGCAGAGGGATGGAGGGGTGCAGTGTATCCTCTCTAGGAATGCTTTAATAAGCATTAGGAGTGCTTTTGACCGTAGAAGCTTTGGCCCGCTTTGCGGTCACGGCGCTCCTTACTGGAAGGACATGTTTTTATGAGCCATCGCTCTGTTGCACAGACTGCTTTGATGATGGAAAAACTTGTTTTAATTAGATCTGTCCTCCTGACAACCATCAAACTTGTTTTTCACTGCTCTCACGCGATCCGGTCAGAGAGAGGTATATAGGAGGTGTGACAGGCAAGGGAACTCTGAAGTCTTGCTGTGGACTAACGCGTGAGTGCCCAGCTGTTGATGTGATTCCTTTACCCGGGTCGAAGGCTTCCCGATCACGTGTCACGGTGAGAGGCTCTCATATCAATTTGTGTGTGTAAAGAGTGTACAAGTGTACATGTTTGCTTGGCTGTTTTCTGTGGCAGATTAATAAATGACACTATTATTCTAGCAGTAACAGTCTCCTCTGATTTATTTCCTCTCGTGTGAATCATCGGGTGCCGACCGTTCACGACCCCTGTTAAAACTAATTTCATAATACACAAAGTACCAGCCAACAGGGATCATAAAGTACCAGCAGATAGGGATCACAAAGTAGCAGCCGACAGGGATCATAAAGTACCAGCAGATAGGAATTACAAAGTACCAGCCGACAGGGATCACAAAGTACCAGCCGACAGGGATTACAAAGTACCAGCCGACAGGGATCACAAAGTACCAGCTGACAGGGATCACAAAGTACCAGCCGACACGGATCACAAAGTACCAGCCGACAGGGATCACAAAGTACCAGCCAACAGGGATCATAAAGTACCAGCAGATAGGGATTACAAAGTAGCAGCCGACAGGGATCACAAAGTACCAGCAGACAGGGATCACAAAGTACCAGCAGATAGGGATTACAAAGTAGCAGCAGACAGGGATCACAAAGTACCAGCTGACAGGGATCACTGACCGAACTGTTCGAAGGTATTACTCCGTATGAACAAAATTCAAAACGACATGCGGAAATAACTTGAACAGTAACGGAGTTCATAGAGAAAAACATGATGTCCATTAATACAGTGACCAAGCCTGAGTTTACGACTTTGGTCAACACAGTGGATAAGCGTACAGAACGCCCTTGTGCACACACTTTAGCCAAGTTGCTGTCCTGGAGCTACACAAACACTGCAGACACAAAGTTGCAGCGGAGCTGAAAACGGTGGAGTTTTTTGCAAATGAAACAGATTGATTTATTGCTTGTGTTGGCTGAAAAATACATGAGAAGAAGACATTGAGATATTGAGGTAAAAAAAAAATCACAATTAGAATATTTTCCAAAATCGTTCAGCCCTAGAACCAATGGATGGGAAATGAAATAGGTCCAAGAATGGATACTTGGGGAACTCCACATGTGAGAGGAGCAGAGGAGGACTGTCAGAAATGTAATACCTGAACCAGTCCAGATAAAAACATTTGATACCACAGACCTCCAAAATCCTGAGGTCAGCTGGGTCACAGGCAGAGTCTGTAGCCAATAAAAGAACTTTAAAAAGAAGCAGCTGAATCCAAACTAACCTTTATAAAGTTCTTAGACAAACGTAAGTTTTGAAACGAGTCTAAAACTGGAGGACATGAGTCTAGATTAGGTTTCTTTATCAACAGCAGTATACTGACAAAAGCTGGAACAAGAACTTGAACTGAGACTGCTGTTCGAACTCTCTGTACCTTCAGAATCAACAGTCCAGATGAGTTCTACTGTGCTGCTTATTAACCCTTACTGATTGCACAGGAGAACAGAACCTCCGGAGACTCCCGGTAAAATAACAAGTACATACCTCATCCACCTGCAGACCTCCAGTCAGAGAGCAGAACAGCTGCTCACCTGTAGCACTCACCTGGAGTCGGTGGGCTCCACCCGCACGTTGTCGTAGACCTTGAACTGGACACTGTTCCTGACCAGAGACTCCAGCACTGCCTTCACAGGAGAAAGATGGGACAAGTTCTGGTCCGTCATGAGACAGACGTTCTGAGCTCTGAGGTTCTGCAGGTCCTGTGGATGACCCGCAGGTCCACAACAACAGAACCAACATCAGTACTAGCCCTAGAACAATTAGAGGAACTTGTTTATTTTTACATTACAAGCATTCAATAAGCGTTCAATACAAAAACAACTGGACTTTATTTGTAACAGAAGACGTTTCGCTCCTCATCCGAGGAGCTTTTTCAATTCAATGAGCAGAGAGTGAGAGATTCAGGTTAAACATTCACTGCTCACTCTCTGCTCATTGAATTGAAAAAGCTCCTCGGATGAGGAGCGAAACGTCTTCTGTTACAAATAAAGTCCAGTTGTTTTTGTATTGAACGCTTATTGAATTCATCATGTCCTGAATGACTGAGAATCTTCACCAGCATACATTACAAGCAGAAAGAAGGTTCTAATGGATACTGCTGTACGAACGTTTCTATGGTTACTGGCATTTTTGCTGCATGCTTCAGTATTTCTGGTTGTTTTTGGGTTTTTAGCAAGTCGAGACGGTTCTTCTCGTCCTAAGCATTTCATTGCATCATTGACCTTGTGCTGATTTTGCATATGACAAATGTAACCTACCTATATGTACGTTTCTACGGTTACTGGTGTACCACATTTCCGTGGTTACTGGTGTAGGCATGTTTCTATTGTTATTGGTGTAGGCATGTTTCTGTGGTTACTGGTGTAGGCATATTTCTATGGTTACTGGTGTAGGCATGTTTCTATGGTTATTGGTGTACGCACGTTTGTATTTTTACTGGTGTAGGCACATTTCTATAGTTATTGGTGTAGGCATGTTTCTATGGTTATTGGTGTACGCATGCTTCCATGGTTATTGGTGTACGCATGCTTCTATGGTCATTGGTGTATGCAGGTTTGTATTGCTACTGGTGTAGGCATGTTTCTATGGTTACTGGTGTACGCATGTTTCTATGGTTATTGGTGTAC